AGGCTCCTATAGTTATGTTCAGTTATTTCACTTTAATGGCATAGAAAAGGACCCAAACATTGCCATTAAAGTGAAATTACTGAACCTAAACATTGGAGCCTGATAAAAATGCTAATTTTAGAAGAAATTTTCAGATGGCACTAACTTTTGCATCTGAACTCTTCATTCATATATATATATATATATATACACACACATGTTCTATATATTACTTTTTTATTTTCAATATATAAACATTTTATTTCACATATTTAAATGAATATGTTTTATAAGTAATATATTTATAATAATAGTACTAATAATAATTGACTACAGGCTTGGTTTTACCTGCGATGGAGTGGATTCGAATGCTCTTTATTTTCAGGCTCTTCTGAGGTGGCAGCTGAAGGTTGTATTGGTTCTTCATGATCTCATAATAACTGACGTACCTACTCTGCAAGTGCAAAACAAACAGAACATTTATCAGTAAAAAAAAAAAGGACTATACACATTCACTGGTTACTGCTGGCTTCATGGCTTCTAATCCAGTTTCACACACCTGTGAGGGAGTTTCAACACCCTGGAACTTTGAGCTCATACTTTTATCAGTCCGTCTCTCCCCAAAGTAGTCCAAACTCTCCTGTAAGATGGTTTTTTAAGAACATTTGAACACAATCCTGGATGAGAAGGATTAAATAAATGTAAACATGGATGAGCAGACTGTACCTGTGCGCTCTCAAACTGGTCGCTGTCGATGAGCCACGTGCACACCATAGTCCCAGTCCGCCCTATTGAACAAAACCCAAACTGTTAAACACTTCAGACAGACTGCATTCACAAACAACACTGAAATCCCATCAAACAACAGACCTTTTCCTCCTTTGCAATGGATGGCGATCACATTCCTGGAGTCTGCTGCCATCCACTCCCTAACACAGGCCGTGTACCGCAGCATATCTCTGACAGCATTACCAACAGACAGAGCTTCAATCACGCCTCAAAGATGACAACATGCTTGCTAAGAAATACACTTCTGCAACATGTTTTGATGTTCAGTTGTGCTGGCAGCACACTTACTCGAGTGACGGCACGTTATGGTCATCTATCATAATACGCTCCACTCTATAGTGAAATAACTTTGGATCGTAACCCTTCTCACCTGAAACAAGACGTCAGATTAGCCACCATCTTTATCATGCCTTTTAGAAATTACGAGACTGTAGAAATTATCTTTACTAGCAATTAAGGCAAAATTATCTGATCACAATCATGAAGAGAATCGTCTACTCACTACAGAGATTAAACACCTTGTAGTGATCCAGATGCTTGGTGTCCAGGAATCTAGCGACCTCCTGAAATGTGTCATTTATATTCTGATCATACAATTCAAATATCTAAACTACTTTACATGCAATTCAAATCTTCTTAAACGTTTGAGATGTTTGTCATGCTGGTGTCTTACTCTGATAGGGTTCCTATAGAGCGCCTGCTTCCCAGAAGATGGAAAAGACATGGCAATGACTCTTTCTGAAGAGAAAGAAGACCAATGATGAATCACTTTGGTTTGCAAATTAATTCATTTTGATGTCGTTTATAATGTTTCATGTGAATTTAAAAAGGTACATCTGATGCAAAATAAAAGACAAAAAAAACATGAAGATTAAATGAAATGGCTATACAAAAAAAAGACAATAACAAAAAGCAACCAAACCTGTGACATAAGTGAGGTCCAGATCAAATCCATCTTTTTGGTACCGCCTTTTGTTCTCGGACACCTGTGAGAATTATGAAAGTTTATTTATACAGTACATTTCATACGACAAAAATTGCTTTACATGAGAGTGAGAAATGTAAAAATAATTTAAGAACATATAAACAAAGACAAGAAAAAGACTAAACAGAAGACTAAAAACTAAATGAGGAAAATTAATTTAAAAATGGAATGAAAACTACACTACCAGTCAAAAGTCTGGAATAATTAATTTTTTTATATTTTTAAAATAATATTTCATAATATTGCTGTTTTTACTGTATTTTTTCATCAAAAATGCACCCTTGGTGAGCATATACATCTTATGACATTGAAACAGATTTTAAAAAAGCAGTGCAAATCAGATAGAAATCACACTCATTATCACACTCATTGGCTAAAGATACACAAAGTTATAATGACCACATCACAAAATGAGACAAACAACAGTTTCTTGGTGTCACTCACCATTCTCCTGGTGACCTTTTCAAGCTCTTTCTTCTGAGAGGCCAGTCTGAAGATACGTACCAGAATCAATATCCTCAGAGATCTCAGGAAAGTGACCACTCTGCAAACACACCATATTAATGTCGTTATACTACTATAATATTGGGTGAAATGTGAGCATGTTCTGTTAAATCTGCTGTACCTGGGAATCAGGCTGGCTCCGGAGAGATCGGAGAATGCGTAGATCATGGTGACCACCAGGGTAACAACCACAATACAAGCATCTATTATATTCAGTTTTGAGCTGAGATACACCTTGAATCTGAGAAAGATGATGATTGAAGAATGGTTTATCAGAGATTGCTAAGGAATAGATCCTGAATGTGTAAAATAATACCTTTGCACCAGGTTTTGATAACGCTCATACTGTATATAATCATATTGCAGAGCTTGTTTGCCATTTCACTTATTTTTGTGCTTGAGTTCTAGGAAACTAGTCCAGAGTGATAAAAACTTATTTGGGGAAAAACAAACCGGAAATGTGTTTCCTGAAGATCATTTCCTATCATGAGCAACTCATCATGTGAAACAAGCACTACAGCACTATTGGTTTCCGTCAGTCTAAAGCATTTTGTAAATGACGTTTGAATTAAGTGATGCAAGACGAAAGATGAAATTTGCTAAATTACTTTTAAAAACTACTAACCCTTCCACATATACATGGAGCAGCACATCAATGAGGAAAAAGAAGGAGATGACAAGAGAAATGGCCTCTAGTGCACTTCTAACATCACCACTATCGTTGGAAAGGGACAAGTCCACAATGACCAGAACAATATCCACAATGATCAGTACAAGGCCAAAAACACTGCAAATAAGAAGAGAAGCAGCCTATTATATAATAAAAAAAAAACAGTCTAAAATCTATTTTTGGAAAAACAGTAAAAGATCACAAACACTTTTATTGGATTTTACAGGTCCTGGGAGCCTCTTTATGTGACATTCTGAAATGAAATGATCCCACTCACCGAAAACCAAAAGACGTCACAAAAGGAGCTATAGTTTTCCGGACACAACTGCAAAACAAACCAGATACAGAAAAAGGCATAAGAAAATGAATCTCAAAATATCACAATGTCAACAAATTATAAGCTTACTTACTGGTACATGGTGTCTGGATCCTCAGTCTCTTCCTTTCCATCATCAATCTGCACCTCTGCCTCCTCTTTCACCCCATTACTGCTCCAACATAGATACATAGATAAAAGATACAACATAACAACATTGCATCATTCTAGAAATGTTAAGCTTACAAAACGTTCATTCGAGTCATTTGTTTAACACGCCATGTAATTCTGCTGGGAATAGTGCTGAATTACTCATTTAAAGTCGGGGGAGTAAAGGTCATGATGCTGGGGAACTGTTAGTAACTTTAATTGAATGCTTTTCACTTACCTATTAACTTCCTTGGAATCTAATCCAGGGTTAAAATGCACGGATGTCATTTTTACAGGAAAGTTTCGAGTTTCTCTCTGAAAAATAATAATAATAATAATAATAATAAATAAATAAAAATAAACTGCAGTTTATTTAAAGATAGCATATCTACTCTTATATTTTATATATAAATGATAGTTTGCCAAATACAGACAGATGCTGCACAAATTAATCAATAAATCTTACAAACACTTACATATTAGTCAATAAATAAGTTATCAATCAAACAACATTGAAAAATGAAGCAGAATTAGGTCTAACAAACCCGAACATGACAAAAGATGTACTTACTTTAGACTAATAAATCCTCAGAGAGTTCAAATTCAAGGTTTCAGAGAAGGATTAAAATATTTTCTGATTAATATCCCAATGGATTACTAATCCCAAAAGTTGTCTGCCCCAGAAAGTTTCGAATCAAGCCCTAAATTAAATATCTGCAGAAAGAAATATAACAAGCAATTATTTGTTTGTTTCAGTCTGAACAAGATCATAGCAAAAGAACGCCAGCTTTGGGAAAACCGATACAAACCAGACAGAAAGCGCATCCGGGGAAACTGTTTTCCTTCCCTTTGCTTGACTCGCAGCAGTCACAGCCTATTCCTCAAACAGTCTTTCTGTGTCATGTCTCCATGATTGTCTTTACGAGCGGTGACTGTCCCGTGATTTTTTTGTGATAACAAAGGAAGGAGGTTCAAAGGTAGCTGTAGTTTTCTTATGTCTACCATCCCACAACCACATTAACACACACCGCCCCTTTCTTCACTCCTGACCTGCTGCAGACGTAGCGGTTTTTAACTTCCTCATGCACACAAAATCAGGAGGCTGGGCGAATGGGAACGGTGATAACAACGCGAAAGCGTCCCTTAAATACAACTTCGTAGTGTTAATAAAATATGGTTTTATTTAAAGTGCGTGTGCGCGCGCAAACGCGTGAGTCAAGTTTCTTTTTTCTGTTTTCTTGGGGGCTACATCCTCCAACACCTCAGTAATTATACATCCTTGTGGGGACCTTTTTGTGAGAACAGCTTCATAAATGGACGATTTGAATAAAATCTAAAAGTGAAAAAATGAAACGCAAAATGAAAAACTCTTTACTTCATTTCCTCACGCCTTTCCAAACACGTAAGCCTAAATGACTTTATTTTCTGTGTTGACCACAAATATAGAAATGTTAAATGTAAAGACCAAAAGCAAAATAAGCAGCCTATGCTAAGTATTCAATAGGGATGGCGTACTACTTTGCTCATAATATTGAAGGTTTTGTGTGGAACAGAAATTCCACATAAATTATAAAGTAAACAACAATTGTAGGTTGTTGCTTCTGGTATGTGTGGAATGGGGGAAGATGAAGCATCTTTCTGACCGAGTGGACAGACTAGTGTGGACCATGCGGAACCAGCAGTGGCTATAAATATTGGAAATGAAAGTCTGGAAGGCATTTCATTGACACGTAATCTGGAGAAGGGTAAGAACACCACGTGCTGTATAGATTTATATTTAATAAACCTTTATTGATATTTTTTAAATATATATGCCTGCATTGCTTATTTTACTTACATTAAAATTTTTAAATAGTTGCATTTCTAAACATTACAATGTTTAATGCAAATTAAAGGGATAGTTCATCCAAAAATGAAACTTTGATGTTTATCTGCTTACCCTCAGGGCACCCAATATGTAGGTGACTTTGTTTCTTCAGTAGAACACATATGATGATTTTTAACTCCAACCGTTGCAGTCTATCAGTCGTATAATGCATGGCAATGGTAACAAAATCTATGAGAGTAAAAAAAACATGCACAGACAAATCCAAATTAAACCCTGCGGCTCGTGACCACACATTGATGTCCTAAGGCACGAAACGATCGGTTTGTGCCAGAAACCGAACAGTATTTATATAATTTTTTTACCTGTAATACACCATTATGTCCAACTGTCTTTGGGCGCGCGCACGGCATCCGGTGCGTGAGGTGTGTACGCACTCTGGCGTAGTTTACGCAAGGGTAAAAAACGATATAAATACTGTTCAGTTTCTTGCACAGACCGATCGTTTCATGTCTTTACACATCAATGTTTCGTCACGAGCCACAGGGTTTCATTTGGTTTTGTTTGTGTATGTTTTTTTGACTCTCAAAGCCGTGATTCCCATTCAGTTCCATTATAAGACTGACAGACTGCAACGGTTTGAGTTAAACATCTTTGTTTGTGTTCTACTGAAGAAACAAAGTCACCTACATCTTGGATGCCCTGAGGGTAAGCAGATAAACATCAAATTTTCATTTTTGGGTGAACTATCCCTTTAAATGGAAGTCTATGTTTGCTACATTTTATGTGATTTTATTCTTGGACAAAATTAACACATTTCTCAATTGTCATGTAAAGAATATTAGATGGTCATGTCACAGCTGGTGTTTATCTTGGTGTTTCATGCTCTCATATTTTCAAAATATTCAAATATCAGTAAGCTTGACCAGAATTTCTACAGTATCTAGACATTACATAGGAAAAGAGCCAAAAACTATGAGGTTCCATTTGTGTCAAAAATGTTTTGTGCTTTGTACTATACATTTGTTTTTGTCTACAGTCATTGCCTACTTGTTCAGGTAAATCAGTATATGTAGGCGTGTATGTTGTCTGTTGATGTCGTCTTAATCTGTCGTCCTGCTTGCTTTTTCTCTGTCGTTTAATTACTGTCGTCCTTATTGTCGTTTTGTTCTGTCATCTTGTTCTGTCGTCCTAACTGTCATCCTTACCGTTGTCTTGTTCTGTCGTCCTAACTGTCATCTTATTCTGTCGTCTTGTTCTGTCGTCCTAACTGTCATCTTATTCTGTCATCCTAACTGTCGTCCTGTTCTGTCGTCCTAACTGTCATCCTTACTGTCGTCCTAACTGTCATCTTATTCTGTCGTCCTTACTGTCGTCTTGTTCTGTCGTCCTAACTGTCGTCCTGTTCTGTCGTCCTAACTGTCATCCTGTTCTGTCGTCCTAACTGTCGTCCTGTTCTGTCGTCCTAACTGTCGTCCTAACTGTCATCCTAACTGTCGTCCTGTTCTGTCGTCCTAACTGTCGTCTTGTTCTGTCGTCCTAACAGTCATCTTGTTCTGTCGTCTTAACAGTCATCTTGTTCTGTCGTCCTAACAGTCATCTTGTTCTGTCCTCCTAACAGTCATCTTGTTCTGTCGTCCTTACTGTCGTCCTGTTCTGTCATCCTAACTGTCGTCCTGTTCTGTTTGTTCTGTCGTTCTAACTGTCATCTTATTCTGTTGTGCTTAATGTCGTCTTGTTCTGTCATCATAACCTTCATCAGCGCTGTAAAGTTAGTTTCATATTTCATATTCGACTAGGCTGCTTAAGGAACTGTCTGCAAATTCACCTCACAGTACAAAACGAAGTACAATAATTACAAATTAATGTTCACGGGACTATAGTAAATGCCTATTGGGCAAACTGACTAAATATATTTTGCCAATGTCTCGCCTTAGACAATACTTCCAACATCTCCCTTACAGTCTGTACAGAGACTGACTTATTACAGGTGAAATTTTGCCAATACCTGCTTTACTGGACGTACAGTGCACAAATATGTTTAGAAAAAAACTACTGTAATTCACCAAAAAGGCTTTTTCATGTTCCAAAGGTTGTAGTATATACCTAGTTACAAAACTTATGAGTTTGCCAATATCTCCCTTAATGTATGTACAGCGCACAAATATTTTATGAAAAAATTACAGTAATTTACCAATAGGTTTTTGTATATATATATATATTTGTGTACTGTACATACAGTAAGGGAGATATTGGCAAACTCTCACCTGGAGTAAGTCAGTCTTGTAAACAGGAATGTATTACAAGCATTAGAACATGAACAAACCCTTTTGGTAAATTACAGTAGTTTTTTTCTAAGAATATTTGTGTACTGTATGTACAGTAAGGGAGGTATTAGCAAAATCTCACCTGTAGTAAGTCAGTCTTGTAACTAAGAATGTACTGCAACCTTTGGAACATAAACAAACCCTTTTGATAAATTACAGTAATTTTTTTCTAAAACATATTGGTGTACTGCACATACAGTAAAGGAGATATTGGCAAAATATCACCTGTAGTAAGCCAGTCTCATAACTAGGAATGTACTACAACCTTTGGAACATAAAAAAACCTATTGATAAATTACTATATTTTTTTCTAAAAATATTTGTGTACTGTACATATAGTATAGGAGGTATGAGCAAAATTTCACAAATCATAAGTCAGTCTTGTAACTGCAAATGTACTACAACCTACAAAAAAAATGTGCGTACAGTAAATTTTATGAAAATAATTGTGTACTGTACATAGGCCTATATGACGAGAGATACTGCCAAAATCTCACATGTCAGTATCTAGGAACATACTACAACCTTTGGAACATGAAAAAAACCTATTGGTAAATTACTGTAATTTTTTCATAAAAAATGTTGTGCACTGTACATACAGTAAGGGAGATATTGGCAAACTTATAAGTTTTGTAACCAGGTACATACTACAACTTTTGGAACATAAAAAAAGTCTTTTTTGGTGAATTACAGTCGTTTTTTCCTAAACATTAATTTGAATGAATTATTGTACTTCGTTTTGTACTGTCAGGTGAATTTGCAGATGGTGACAGATAGGCCGACAGTAAGGACGAAAGAATAAGATGACAGTAAGGACGACAGAATAAGATGACAGTTAGGACAACAGAACAAGATGACAGTTAGGACGACAGTTAGGACGACAGAACAAGATGACAGAACAAAACGACAATAAGGACGACAGTAATTAAACGACAGAGAAAAATCAAGCAAGATGACAGATTAAGATGACGTCAACAGACAACATACACGCCTACATATACTGATTTACCTGAACAAGTAGGCAATGACTGTAGACAAAGACAAATGTATAGTACAAAGCACAAAGCAGTCGACTCATTTTTGACACAAATGGAACCTCATAAAAAGAGAAGAATAATGTTGCCTTTGGTTTATTGAGGCAGAGGAAGAATGACAAATATCGGAAGTGTCGAAGCTGAAGGAAGAGATTCGAAACTGAATAATAGATTGCTGATCGGAGAATGGAAAGTTATGCATCTGCGTAATCACCGACGCTTCAAGCTGGTTCCCAACCTGGAACTATCACTGGAACACAAGAAGACAACACTGAAACCTCACCCACCCTACCAAGTTCTGGAGGCTCATTGTTAGTTCATGACAAAGGTAATGTTTATAAGAAACCTGTGCACACTGCTAATTTGTAGTTAAGCCTTTTCATTATTTTATGAGAATTGATTATGAACAAATTTTGAAGTTGATAACATTTTTAAATCTGTATATGAAGTTTTTTTTTTTTTTTTATCTATCTGGTGTCTCAAGTCTATTTATGTTTTAAGTTTTATATTTTATTGTATTTCTTGAATTTTAACAGTGTTACTGCCGGGGTTAAATCAACATACAAAAGGAAAAGAACAGTACATTGTGATAAAACAGAGTTAAAAGAAAGTTGATCTCAAAATAGTTAAATCATTATTTTTTCTGTAATTTATGTCTGTTAGATTGTTCTGAGTTATATGACAGACTAAAACCAGGGAGCGGCTTCTACAGGATTAAACCCAAACTGTCACTTGAACCATTCCTTGTATTCTGTGACTTGGAAGATGGAGGAGGCTGGACTGTGATTCAGAAACGGACCAATGGGAAAGTTGATTTTGACAGGTAAGTCTAATGTCATATGCAATGGCTTTATAATAATGAATATTTTTGTGGAAAGTTTATGTTCTTACTTACATTCAGACCCACAT